CATTGTAAAATTGTGAAGGAATAGCACAGGTCTGGAGCCACCAGAGAGGCCCACAGGAGAGGAGGTAGAGCCAATGTCACTAAGGGGCAAGATGTGAGGAACAGGATTCACTAGGCAGCTGGGGGGCAGCTGGGAGGACAGGCCTACCTCCTTCAGGAAAGGGCACAGAAGGAAAAGCCAAAATTCATTAAATTGGGGGGGGTGTGGTTCTTTGGTAAAGCAGCAAAGAGAAAGAGACCACTGTATTAGGAGGCACTGAAAGACAGATTAAAGCAACTCTGTTAGGTCAAGGCAAGGGAAGCTCCTGGGAAGCCAAATGGCTGGGGCAGGGTTGTGCTTTATGGGAGGGATGTGACATGTGCTGTCCTCGATAAAGACTCATGGCTTGGGCAGGACTAAGCTCACAAAGCACAGAAGCAGAGGTAGCTACAGTGAGAGCCTTTAAATGACTGAAACACAAAGTCCACTTTCATGAATTCTTTAAGTAGGCCTTATGCTTGGGTATAAACCACCTCCATCTCTGCCTATCTCTCCTCTTCTTCAATCTCCTCCCGAGTTTCTGAATATTAATCCCACAGTGATGTCATCAGCTAGAACTGCAGACTGTTCTAATTATAGAGCATCGAGGAGCAGCAAAGCTGACAAGGGGCTGTGCACACACCTGGCTCTCAAAAGACACTGGAGCATCAGAGTAAAGAGCTCAGGCCCTGGCTAAGAATCAGAAGCTGGGTCTGTCCTGAGCATGGTTTCTGAGCAAGTTCCTTAAACCCTCCACTAGGAAAACAGAATTACCTACCTACAAAGGTTGTGCCAAGAATGTTGTAATACACAGCTTATTATGTATTAGAAAACCCAGCCATGGGGCCGGGGATGTGGCTTAGTGTATGCCTAGCATGTAGAAGCCGTAGGTTCAATCCTTAGCAGTGCATAAAGCAGGCCTGGAGATGTGTGACTGTAATCAGAGGGGGAATCAGGTGTTCAAGGTCATTCTTAGCTACATATCAAGTTCCAAACCAGTCTATGCTACACGAGACCTTGTATTAAAAGGGGAGGAGGGTAGAATTCAGATATTACCCTCTTCAGTTGTCATTTAATTACAAACCTTACCTCCAAAGTGTGCACACGCCCTTTAATTACTGAGGGGCAGTGCTGTGTGAATAACACACTGACTGAGCTGGCCGTCACAGCTTTGCTTGGAGTTTCCCTGACTTTGGGGTGACTTGAACCAATTCACTTCTCCACCCATAAAATAAAATGGGAAGAGGAGGGAGGAAGTCCTCTCTGCCTTCTGAGGCAGCTGGGACAATGGGGAGCTAACTGGCCAGTCAGGGCAGAGTGTAAAGTGCCCACCGGGGCCAGTGCAGTCTGCCTGCACAGGAGTCAGCTCCAACCTGCCCATCTGTCAGCATCCCTCAGAGCTCACTTGTAAGGAAGGGCTCCTGGAAGGCCAAGCCAAGGAAACAGCAGGGCAACAGCATGAACAACAGGGGCCCAATTCCAGCCCCAGCCAAGCCCTGACTCTGCTGGACCCAGCCTAGTAGTTGAATTCCTGTTAGCTCTTGCCAAATGCCCACCCCTGAATTTTCCTTGAATCCCTGCAGGGGCAGAGGCCCAAGAAGAGGGCAGTCACACCCATTATTGCCACATGGCTGACCAGCTCTAGAAGCTGTCCATATGCTCCCCTCAGGCAGGCCCCAAATTCAACCTGTCTTTGCTAACTTCCATGATTGCAGCAAGCTGTGCCCTGTGCCCAGCAAGTTTTCATCCCCCCCCCCACTTTCCTGGGTCACACA